TTTTGATTAGGGTCACAGGAATACTCGCAAAAGTAATTTTAAACTAATGCAGTTAGAGAGTAAATTTAATCTTATTTTTTAATGCAAAAGCAGTTAAAAGCAATTTGTTCTAGGTTATAAAATCAAATATCATCATTCAGGGGAAACATAAACCAAGTAAAGGCTTTTTAAATATTATTTCAATGAAGACGTGAGATAGTGAGACCTTCATCCAGCCATAATAAGAAAAAAAAGTGGAAATAAGCTTTAGAATCCACTGGAAATCTGTATGTACGGTGACTAACAGCAAGATAACTTGGCTCAGCCATACAGAAATTGTGTGACCTTGGATAATGTTTTGAATAGTTCTTTCAGTTTCATTATGTGTAAAATGAAGATAATAACCCTAAATACTCCCTATTTTTTGTCAAATTAAAACATGTTTTTGTAGTAAAGTGCCAGTTAGAGTCTGACACACAGAAAACACAACAAAAGCTTGTTACTACTAATATTATTCTTACTGGAGACTTTCATTTCTAATAAGTATTTTAATAGAATGAGCTTGCCTACATAATTTAAGACATTAACCCCCAAAATAAATATTTATATTGTTCATATTTGCAATTATGGATTCAATTGCTAGAATGCATATTTATTAGCTTTCCTTAATATGTTTACTGTATTAATGGCAAATCAGATTATAAAAATAAAGTTTCACCAATTCTTACATATTCTAGTAAATAAAATCAAGTTTATTTCTCTTGCGATACTTGGAAAAGTCTTGTTCTGTCTCATATTCCATAGTAACAAGTGATATTACATATATTTTTAAATGTGCATGTTCTCATTTCCTATACTACATAAATGTCTAATCTAGAATTGTTCATGTCATCCATTTAATGATTTATTTGTTATGACTAATTTACCTTTCAGTTATTTAAACACAGACCTACAGTGTATATATGATATGATAAAAGTAGAAAAATAGAATCTTCTATAGAATGAAGTAGAAATAACTAAATTATATATAGAATGATTAAGTATTTCATTACATTTTTTGTTGCATGTCCTAATATCATAAAAAACTTGCTTTCTTTTCATAATCATAAAAAATTTCTACAATTATTATTGTCAGCATTATTTAAAAATTTGAAATGAAAGCCAAATGATTTTATTTAACTTTATAAGTATGAAACGTTAGCAATAATTGAGTACAGGTATGCTTGTGGGAAGTGATTCTATACAAGTCTTTAATTTCCATTTTGACAAAAGTTATCAACTTTACCCTTGTCTTTGTTTGTTTAGTCTTATTGAGATTTGCTAATGTCCAACTTCCAGAGTTGAAGGTTGAGACCCCGCTACTCTCCTCCAACTCCTCCAGCTCCTGCTCTATTCCCTACAGGAGTCTGGCAGGTGATCCAGAAAGAAACAATGCCACAGAATCTGTTACTGCAGCGCCCAGGAGAGCAATAATGGGCCACCAATAAAATAATTGGGGTACTGGAATTGATGCCTCTTCCTTCATTTCTTCATTAGATCTAACCTTCTGAGAACACATAATTCCATTAGAATATTCAGCCTGGCTAGCAAGAAATGCTACTGCCCATCTCAACTTTCCAAGTTCCTACAAAAGCCATTCTACTTTCATTTTTCTTGCCTTTCCCTTTATTTAATATATTGTAGTGAAAGATAGATAGTTGTTTTTGTATATTTGAATTCACATCTGAAT